TATAAGAAGGTTTTTTTCTTTCTTTCAAGGAAATAGAAAAGTCCAAAGGAAGGATACATCTAAAATATCTGATTTGTGAACTATGTTAAACAAGGTTTAAGAGGTGATTGCTCGCCTACTCAGTCTGACTGGACAAAATATTTTCCAAAGAGAAAAAAGAAATACACTTTGCAAATAAGATTGTTATTCCTCATGTGACATCCATCGTTTTTAATAATGGCAAAAATAATAAACTTTCCAAGGGGTGGGGGGAGAGAGAGAGAGAGAGAGACAGAGAAACAGACACACAGAGAGAGATAGGCAGACAGAGTCAGAGACACAGAGAGAGAGAGAAACAGAGAGAGACAGAGACAGAGAGAGAAACAGAGAGAGACAGAGAGAGAGACAGAGAGAGAGAGACAGAGAGAGAGAGACAGAGACACACAGAGAGAGACACAGAGAGAGAGAGAGAGACAGAGAGAGAGAGAGACAAACAGAGAGACAGAGACAGAGAAAGAGAGACAGAGACACACACACAGAGAGAGACAGAGAGAGAAAAACAGAGAGAGAGAGACAGAGACAGAGACAGAGACAGAAAGAGAGAAACAGAGAGAGAGAGAGACAGAGAGATGGAGAGAGACAGAGACACAGAGACAGAGACAGAGATAGAGAGAAAGAAAGAAAGAAAAAAGATAATTGAAAAAATATGCAGTGGAATACAGCTTCAAAGGGAGTTGGAACTTTTCTGTAACTATTTACAGAGCATTTACAAAGGTTTAGCCTCCTTTGTGAATTAGAAAATCAAACGCAATTTGAAACCTTCTCCCTTGCAGCCTCGGATTGAACCAGGGTCAGATTTCCATTGGATGGCCGAAAGAAAAACTGTCTGTGAAATGACAGGTGGGATACCCAAGCCGTTTTCCCTAGCACTGGTGAAAAAAGCAATTGGATTTCATCGGCAGTAGGAAGATTTTGTGCCAATTTATTCCTGGCTGCATCCAAACAAGGGAAGATCACTATAATGTATTGAAATGGCAAACTGGGATTATGAATCGAACATGCAACCAAACCCTGATTCATAGATACCGTACAGACCTAGGAGATGCTAATTTATCTAGGATGCATCAATAAAGGAGAATATTTATAGCTCAGGGTTGAAATGAAGGGTCCTTGGTGCTTTCTGGTTGTTGAAGATGTTTCGTTACCCAAACTTGTGCATTCAGAGAACATCAAGGACTCCTCAAATGGAGAATGACTCAGACAGTTAATCAAGATGATAATCCAAGACTAAATGAAAGAGAAGTTCTTTTTTAACAACTAGTTTTTGGTGGTACTTTGAATCTCCTCCCCGTGAGTCTCTTTATACGCTGTTGTTCGGTCACATGAATATTTGTAGCTCAGGACTGAAAATGAGGGATCCTTGGTGCTCACTGTACTTGGTTCTTTCCTTGCAGATGTTTCATTATCCAACTAGGTAATGTCATCAGGGCTTGGCTCGACAGAGAAGCATGGGGCTGGTTTGTGCCTTCAAGGCCCTTCCCCAGCCTTTAAATTCTGAATTTTAAATATTTTATTTTTGTTTTAATTGGATTTGTATTATAATATTTATCCAGGAAGGAAGGACAGAGAAGGAAGGAGGCATAAAGGAAGGAAGGAGGAAGGCACAAAGAAAAGTCAGAAGAGGGAGGCACAAAGGAAGGAAGGAGGAAGGAAGGAAGCAAGGAAGGAAGGATAGAGAAGGAGGGAGGCACAAAGGAAAGATAGAGAAGGAGGGATGCATAAAGGGTAGGAAGGAAAGACAAAGAAAGAGGGAGGCACAAAGGAAGGAAGGAAGAAGAAAGGAAGGAAGAACAGAGAAGGAGGGAGGAACAGAGAAAAGATAGAGAAGGAGGGAGGCATGAAGGAAGGAAGGAAGGAAGGAAGGAAGGAAGGAAGGAAGGAAGGAAGGAAGGAAGGAAGGA